TTGGCCCTCTTCTTCTGTCACTAAGAAAGGGCTTGTGTGTGTGCCGGCGTAGCAGTCGAGTCGGCGGTTCGGTGATTTCGTTGTTCCGGCTTCTTGTCGATCAGCCTCCTTCAGCTTGCCCGCTCGGCCCAGCTGGCAGAAGCCTGCGATACCACAGCCTCTCCGGGCACGTCGGAACAAAAATGCGCTTGCATCGCTCGCCGTGTGCACTCCCTGTCCGTGCAACCTGCAAGCCTTGAAGTTTGTGGTCAAACGGTGGGATAGTGCTGTTCGCTTCGTCTCAGGTGTCAAGAGCCCGTTGCGCTCGCACATTGTACATAAGCCAGTCTCTTGACCACTTGAGTGCACGTGCCGGGGCTGTCCCTGCTACTGTGACTTCGATCGTTGGCGCGCCTAGACGCAGCCTCGAGAGCACAAGTGCGGCCCCACAGCTCAGCTTAAGCAAAGCATGCCCTCGTCCACGCCGGAGGTGCCGGCGCAGGATCCGGCGCATGAGCGTAGCACAGCCATGCACAGGCCTTGTACCTGGAGGACCTTTTTTTGCCAAATGCCGTCCCACAGATTTCAGGACTTTGACGGCATCAAAATACTCGCCTGGCTGTTTGCTTGCTTCAATGTTTGATATTTCAGCCGCGGCCGAGACGTCCCGCAAGCCGGATGTCGCTGTGCACGTTTGCGCTCGTGGCGCGGGGCAGACGCTTTATTGCTACAGCTGGTTCAGAGAGACGCTGCTCCCTTGCAGTTTCCACAGTAGTTGGCCCTCTTCTTCTGTCACTAAGAAAGGGCTTGTGTGTGTGTGTGTGTGCCGGCGTAGCAGTCGAGTCGGCGGTTCGGTGATTTCGTTGTTCCGGCTTCTTGTCGATCAGCCTCCTTCAGCTTGCCCGCTCGGCCCAGCTGGCAGAAGCCTGCGATACCACAGCCTCTCCGGGCACGTCGGAACAAAAGTGCGCTTGCATCGCTCGCCGTGTGCACTCCCTGTCCGTGCAACCTGCAAGCCTTGAAGTTTGCGGTCAAACGGTGGCATAGTGCTGTTCGCTTCGTCTCAGGTGTCAAGAGCCCGTTGCGCTCGCACATTGTACATAAGCCAGTCTCTTGACCACTTGAGTGCACGTGCCGGGGCTGTCCCTGCTACTGCGACTTCGATCGTTGGCGCGCCTAGACGCAGCCTCGAGAGCACAAGTGCGGCCCCACAGCTCAGCTTAAGCAAAGCATGCCCTCGTCCACGCCGGAGGTGCCGGCGCAGGATCCGGCGTGTGAGTGTAGCACAGCTATGCACAGGCCTTGTACCTGGAGGACTTTTTTTGCCAAATGCCGTCCCACAGATTTCAGGACTTTGACGGCATCAAAATACTCGCCTGGCTGTTTGCTTGCTTCAATGTTTGATATTTCAGCCGCGGCCGAGACGTCCCGCAAGCCGGATGTCGCTGTGCACGTTTGCGCTCATGGCGCGGGGCAGACGCTTTGTTGCTACAGCTGGTTCAGAGAGACGCTGCTCCCTTGCAGTTTCCACAGTAGTTGGCCCTCTTCTTCTGTCAATAAGAAAGGGCTTATGTGTGTGTGTGTGTGTGCCGGCGTAGCAGTCGAGTCGGCGGTTCGGTGATTTCGTTGTTCCGGCTTCTTGTCGATCAGCCTCCTTCAGCTTGCCCGCTCGGCCCAGCTGGCAGAAGCCTGCGATACCACAGCCTCTCCGGGCACGTCGGAACAAAAGTGCGCTTGCATCGCTCGCCGTGTGCACTCCCTGTCCGTGCAACCTGCAAGCCTTGAAGTTTGTGGTCAAACGGTGGGATAGTGCTGTTCGCTTCGTCTCAGGTGTCAAGAGCCCGTTGCGCTCGCACATTGTACATAAGCCAGTCTCTTGACCACTTGAGTGCACGTGCCGGGGCTGTCCCTGCTACTGTGACTTCGATCGTTGGCGCGCCTAGACGCAGCCTCGAGAGCACAAGTGCGGCCCCACAGCTCAGCTTAAGCAAAGCATGCCCTCGTCCACGCCGGAGGTGCCGGCGCAGGATCCGGCGTGTGAGCGTAGCACAGCCACTGTTTTTGTCCCCGTTGCTGCAGATCTCAGGACTGCGACGTCATCAAAATACTCAGATTGCAGACAGCTCCCAGTCCCAGTGTTCGCGGATTTCAGGGTTTGATTATGCAGCGGACGGAAGCAGAGCTAGGTCTAGTCACAGAGTGTAGTCTCTGAGGTCGTTGCGAGCTGTGGTTGACACGCTGCTTATCACCAGTGTCAGCCTTTTGCCGTGCATGTGTGGGGCTTACTTCACGTTGCCACCTGCGTATGTGCCCGCAGGTGCATGTAGGTACCCTCTTGAGACTCTTGAGACATTCCAACGTGGACATCGCGTGTGTCATCACCTCACATGCACTTTTTCGATGTTTTTCTTCTTCAAATCCCGGAAGCATTGCAGTGGAGTGACCGGGCACAAAAGAAGCCTTCCCTGGAATTGGGCAAAGGTGACAATTCACAACCGGGCGGGACCTTTGTCGGGGCGTCTTGATGCCTAGAGCTGCTCTCAGCCTGCGCAGGTTCAAGAAGGCTCGCAGAGGCACAAGCAAAGAATCGGAAGGGATTCTGTCTCCTGTCGTCATATTCTCGACGCTTTGCGTCGAGAGCCGCACGACTGTCTAGGTTGCTCGCCTGTGAGGCAAGCTCAGTTACCACGCTGGCTGTTCAGGTCTGGTTGGCGTGCAGATTTGATTTTTGTCTCACCCTCCTCACCTGTGGCGGCATGCGATAGCCTGATGTCTGTGCCACTGTCGAGCAGGCTTCCTGTCACACAAAGTATTGCATAGGACACGTCACCTGAGAGCACTGCCAGAACCCGAGCCTAACGGCCTAACGCATGCAACTCCCAGACCGTATCCCAGAGTTCTTAGCACTGGTTTCTAGCAAGGCATGCCGTGCGTGGAATGCTGAAGATGCAAGTCACAAGTGTTGGGGTCTGACGCACTTCCGGTCCTGGTGCAAGCACGGCAGGGTGACAGGCAATGGTTGAGTGTGACGCGTCCCTGTTAGCCCTGTGAGTAAGAAGGCCTCTTGCCTGCTGGCTTCAAGCCTCCTCCATCCAGCCGTGTTGCATACAGTCTCTCCGCAGAGGAGGATCCGCACACTGACATGCTGCCGAAGGTCTTGACAATCTGGAAACTTCCAGAATCTGCAGACCCTCCACTTGCGAGGCAGTGGCTCTTCATTCTGGCGGTAATTTGCTGATTTGCCAGGCCGCAAGGCAGGTGAGATGTCCGGAAATGCCACCTGCAGTGTCGAACCGATGGATCCTCGTGTGGCCATCTCGGCAAGGGGGACGTGGTTGCCGCCAAGCTGGAGCACGCTCTTGTTGTGGTTCGCTTCACAGGCTGTCTCGCACGCTAGGCACGCCGAAGCGGACGTCGGTAGAAACGGCGTGTCGGGTTCTTGCTTGCTTCAGGAGCACCTCGTGCTTGCAGAAGGTTTCACGTTTGGTGTCTTGACGCGGAAGAAGGCATGTGCGCCCTCCCGACGGCCGAGACGTCCCGCAAGCCGGATGTCGCTGTGCACGTTTGCGCTCGTTGCGCGAGGCAGACGCTTTGTTGCTACAGCTGGTTCAGAGAGACGCTGCTCCCTTGCAGCTTTTACAGTAGTTGGCCCTGTTTTTCTGTCAATAAGCAAGCGCTTGTGTGTGTGTGTGTGTGTGTGTGTGTGCCGGCTTCTTGTCGATCAGCCTCCTTCAGCTTGCCCGCTCGGCCCAGCTGGCAGAAGCCTGCGACACCACAGCCTCTCCGGGCATGTGGCTTCCGTCTTGAAGCTCTGCTGAAGCAAAGCACGCTCCCTTGGATGCTGGAGGTGCCGGCTTCTTTTCGGGCCCGTGAGCACATAGTTTGTGTAATTGGAAGACAGCTTGTTTCGTCAAACTTCGTCACCTGTAGCTGCAGATCTTGCGCTGGTGACGCGAGCTAACACAGCCCCTGAAGACGGCATCGTGGGAGTGACCCTGCAGCCGTCTAGTCTGCTTGCCGTTGTGGTTTGGATCTGTGCAGGAGCTGCTATGTTGTGGCGTTCTGCTGCGCTGGAACGGGGTCTGGTCGCCAATGCTCAGGCGTGCCAGTCCCTTGTTTTCAGCACACACAGTGGGGCTGATGCCTCTTCGCTAACAGTATGTGCACGGCCAGCATGCAAGTGTTCAGGCAGGGATCTGTAGCCGCCAGCAGTCACGTATCCTGTGAGTCCACAGATGCGTGAGTTGACAGTGTTTCAATCCGGCGGTTTCCTGTTGGAGATTGTGAGGCCGTGGCTTCAGCACTCTGGCAGACTGGTGTAACATGTAAACCTCATTCATCCTCATTCGGGTGCGGTTCTGTGATGTTGTTGCCACTAGCATTCAAGCAGGTGCTTACGCCTGAGTCGAGGCCATGCCATGCAGGTCCCTTGTATGACTGCGTTGCACAACGTTGTACCGCAAATTGTTGCCGAAGTAGGTCGTCCAGTGCTGACGAAAAAGCTGCATGGAGTGTTCCATTGCTGTGCCGGGGGTTCGGATGCGTTCGGCATGATGTAGTCATACACACAGCTACTATTCGAGACCCGCCCGATGCTATGGGTCAAGAAGAGCAGAAAGTTTACCGTAGGACATGATGACATGAGCCTGTCGTGCAGTGGTAGGTCACACATTGATACAGTCTGCTCGGGGACACTTCGAAAGCTTCAAAATGCTTCAACCAGCCGCTGCCTGGCTCCAGCTGCAGGGCTACGTCTTCCCACTAGCCTTGGTGCTGCCTCCGTGGGCTCCATGGCCGTGGGCTCAGACGGTGCCGGTTCTCGCTGAGGGTATGCATCAGAATAATCTCAAAGGCTGCATTTCGCCGCTTCCAAGTCGGAAAGATGACGGAAGCCTGAGGTGGCCCAAATTGCAAATTCCTGCCGGACTGCTCGGTACTCAGAAGCTTGATAATCTGTTCATGATGACAAAGTTAAAGAAAGGCTTTCCATCACAAGAGAAGCTGAGGCAAGTTCGAGCGGGATGGTGGATGTGGCAATCATCGGAGCAGGGATATCGGGGATTTCCTGTGCAAGGCATCTTCGCGCCAGCGATGGCATGCAGCGGCGCCGCATCAAAGTCTTGGAAGCCACATCCAGACCAGGCCAGCCTGAGGGGTATGCGGGGATCGAAGGAACGATGTTTATGCACTCTGACCGGTCCAGGAGGCCGTGCCAAAACTCATGTTCTTCACAACGGTTCGACCATTGAACTGGGAGCCGCCTGGGTGCATGGCGAACGGGGGAATGCCTCTTGGCTGCTCTCGTGGCGTTTTCTTGGCGGAACTTGTGCGTCTTGGCCTGCATTGCGCAGGGCTTGATCCCCGAGGCGATCTATGATTTTGCCATGAGGAGAGGTCTGCTGCGGGAGGATTGGATGTCCGACCCTGAATGGAGGTGGGAGGACCGGCCGATGCGGCACTTGCCCAAGGTATCGTCTGCGCAGAATGGCATTCCTGCTGAAGCTGAGAAAGAAACGGCTGCCAGACACACAGCCAAGCAGTCAGTTCTCCACCGGGCCCACCGGGCCATTGCAGAAGTCACTGGGGCAACTTGCGGACAAGGCCAGTTCATTCAAAACTTTCCCGAGCCAGTCTGAGGTGCTGCATGTTGTGATTGTGACACGTTTGCATAAAACCATGGATGCAAGGAGGGCTCTCTGGGCTATGGAATGCAACTTGACTTGGTCTGTTGTCTTCATGCAGAAGGCTGCAGGGTCACCGTAGGGCCCAGAACCGCGAGTCGCACCCTGGCCGAGGCGATAGCTGCTGATGCGATGAGGACGTTCGTGTCCGACCATAGCTGGCAGCCTCCGAGGAAGTTGCTCGGAGTAGAAGCTTCCCCGGCCGAGAAGCAAGCTTTTGAAGAAATGGAAAACGCGTTTGACCGTTTCACGGACAAAGAGGCGCTCGGCAAGCAAGCCGATGAAGTGTCGTTAGGAGCTTTGCTGGATGAGAAGTTCCAGGAATGGGCGCAGCACACGGAGCATGATCCCACAACGCTGCAAACAATGTTTGAATTTAAGAAGCGTGAATTGTCGTCCGATGTTGGAAGCCCGGACCTATATACCGTGAGTGCAAACGGCTTTGCCAGTGCCGACGATGTACTGGGTCATAACTGCATCCCCTTGCCCCTCGGGTATTCTTCCATCGTTCGAGCGTTGCTGGAAGATGTTCGGGCCTTGGGTATTCACACGTACGAATCCATCGTCAACAGGCTGCTGACAGACTCGCACGTCTGGCATGACAGCATGATGGAGGTGACCATTCGCGATGGCCGTGCAGAGATCAGCCGAGAGAGGACCGGAAAGAGTGAGTTTCTTGATGCATCTGTGAAGGACAGCATGAAGGAGGTGACCATTCGCGATGGCCGTGCAGAGATCAGCCGAGAGAGGACCGTCAAGAGTGAGTTTCTTGATGCATCTGTGAAGGAGGTGAGAGTGAGGAGTCAAGATGGCCAAGACATCTCCTCAAGTCGAGAGGTCACCATAAAAAGTTGGGACAGCTGCGTTCTAGACTTCGACATTCAGTACGATGCAGTGGTGACAGAGGTGACCAGTCACGATGACCATGTACGGATCACGTTGGAAAATGGTGATAAGCTGCTGGCACGCACGGTTGTGGTGACGGTGTCTGTGGGTGTGCTGAAGTCAGGGCAGATTCGATTCAAGCCGGAGCTTCCGCAGGAAAAGCAAGAAGCCATTCAACGGATGGGATTTGGGCATGTGGAGAAGTGCATCTTGACGTTTGACAACGATACTTGGGAAACTCTGAAGCATGGAGTTCACTGTCTGTGGCCACCTGAGCGTGATGGATATCGGAATGCCGTCCTCAACGATTGGGAGCCTTGGCGCGAGCTGTTCGCGGGGTTCTGTACTGTTTCACGTTGCATCGGGGTGAAAAGATACAAAAGGCCTGCTTTAGACTGGCTTTTTGTGCAGTCGCTGTGTTTCGTATCTTGCTCTCGCTTGTCGAAACGAGGAGCGGAGGATATTCGCCTTATATCCTAACCAGCCACGTTCGAGCCGCTCTTTGGTGGCCTGGATTGTGGCAGACGGTTTCTCAAGTACTTCTGCACCGGAAAAGGTCATGAACTTGTTGCGCTGCTGCCTGGGTCGCGATGTTCCAGATCCCGTAGAGACCAACTTGACGAACTGGGGGCGAGATCGGCGCTTCTTGGGTTCATGGTCCTACCTGTCCGCCGGTCAATCACTAGACGCATTTGGGGCTCTCGGCAAGCCATTTGGAAGAGTCTTCTTTGGCGGAGAGCATACGCACCCAAAGTACTTCGGGACAGCACACGGTGCGTACGAAAGTGGGGCCAGGCGCGCATGGGGATTTGGGTTCAACAGAAGGGCGTGGAGTAGAATCCTGCTGCGGATGTCCCTGCAGGTGTGCCCAAGAGGTGATCGACATGCTCTTCCCGATTCAATCTGTACCACAGAAGAACCTGCAGAAGTATCCCGCGTAAAGTATCTCAGCTGGACATCCTGCGAGGTGCACCAGTGCACCCAAAAGTTCCAGAAGTGGATCGACAAGCTCCCCTCGCCTTTGTGCCGCTTTTGACTCATGGCACCTATGAGGGGCAAGCATTGTGTCAGCCTTGGTTCTTGGCTTGTGGTACAAGCTGCTGTTGAACCTTTTGAGCAGAGTAGAAACAGATGCAAATTGACGTCCGAAATCGAGTCTTGTGATTGCGAAGTATCATTGAGTAGTTTCGTCCACAGATCGGGCCAGAACACGAAGCAAACACTGCATGAGTTACTGCATAAGCGGAACCCGGGTCTTGTTCTTTTTTCTTGCAAGTGCAGTGTTGCCAAAGGTTTTCGGGCGACATGACTGTCAGAGGGTCGGAGGTTAGAAGAAAAATTCATGCCGCAGACTCTCATCTGATAACAGATGTGACGTGTTTGTACAAGCGCCTGCAGTATTGCTGCCGGCGACTCCGATTCGGAGATCTTTCGACCAAGTCAGCAGTCTTCCGACTCTGGTTCGGAGATTTGTTGACCAAGTCAGCAGTCTGCTGTCACACGGACGCAGCACACCAGTGGAGGAGGAATGACTTCTTGTTGCGTGCACGATGATGTACAGCCTTGCACATTGTCTAGCATCAAGTGGACCCAGAGCCAACGAACAAAATCAGCAAGGAGGGTCGGACCGTATCAGTACCTGTCGAAGGTTTCGACTTGTGAGCATGGCGCAGAGCTCGGCTCGGGCTGCCGAGCACCGAATACTGTTGCAGGTTGTGCCTTGTCACTAGTGTTCTGGCTCCAGCTGCGCTCTCGTGCGGCGTAACTCCGCATCTTTGAGAGCCGCCTCTTCCTTGGAGTTAAACTCTGGGGTTCCGGGCTCGGTGGTAACACTCTTCCCTGCAAACTCAGCTGCTTTGCTCATCACTCCACAGCGGTGTCTCGTCCGCAGGCTTGGTCAAGATAGGCCCATGGGGGTTTCAGCACGGAGGTCGCTGTTCAACTTTTTGCAGCTTCCGTCCCGTGCAGCGTGGAGCACTCGGACATGTGTCACTGCCCAGATTGGTTTCTGTCTACCTTCGTGCAAAGGTAAGCGGCGGAAGATGCTGGACGTGGTGATCGTCGGAGCAGGGATTTCGGGCATTTCCTGTGCGAAGCACATCCGTGCCAGCAATGGCATGCAGCGTCTCATCAAAGTCCTGGAAGCCACAGACAGACCAGGCCAGTTCTCACTTCGACTACAAGTGTTGCAGATTTTTAGCGAGTGGAGTCTTCAATCGTGAGATGTAGCCGCACGCAGCAATTGAATGAAGGAGGACGCGCCAAGACCGTCGTGCAGGACGGCTCGATTGTTGACCTGGGCACAACCTGGATCCACGGCGGACCAGGGAATGCCGCTTGGCGTTGCGTGTTGTTTCTTGTTTCAATGTGTTTCATGCAGAGGGCTGTTAGGCAAAGAATCCTCATGCTTCTGACCGTTAGTATATCTGCCCTGTCTGCGAAGGTGATTTATGATTTTGCGACAGAGAAAGGTTTGATGCTAGACAAGGATTGGATGTCCGATCCTAACTGGCAGTGGGAGGTACTGCCGTTGAGGCATTCGCACGGGTTGGAAGCTTCTCCCACCGAGAAGCAAGCATTCGACGAAATGGAGAAGGCATTTGACGGCTTCACAGAAAAAGAGGCAGTCGGCGACCAAGCCGACGAAAAGTCATTGGGGGCTTTGTTGGATGAAGAGTTCCAGAAATGGGCACAGCAGAAAGAGCATGATGCAGCAATGATGCAAACAATGTTTGAATTCAAGAAGCGCGAGATGTCGTCCGGCGTTGGAAGCCCGGACTTGTACACCGCGAGTGCAAATGGCTTTGTCCAGGCCGAAGACGGTTTCGGTCACGATTGCATCCCACTGCCCCACGGGTATTCTTCCATCGTTCGAGCGTTGCTGGAAGAGGTTCCGGACTTGGACATTCAGTACGATGCAGCGGTTAAGGAGGTGACCAGTCACGATAACCACGTGGAGATCACCTTGGAGAATGGGGATAAGCTGCAGGCACGCACGGTGGTGTTCACGGTGTCCGTGGGTGTACTGAAGTCAGGACAGATTCGATTCAAGCCGGAGCTTCCGCAGGAAAAGCAAGAAGCCATTCAACGCATGGGTTTTGGGCATGTGGAGAAGTGCATCTTGACGTTTGACAACGATACTTGGGAAACTCTGAAGCATGGAGTTCACTGTCTGTGGCCACCTGAGCGTGATGGATATCGGAATGCCGTCCTCAACGATTGGGATTCTTGGCGCAAGCTGTTCAAGGGGTTTTCGTGTTTGAGGGTGGAGAAGGCCATTTCCATTTCAGATTATTTGTCTCTTGTTGAAAAGACAATCAAGGAGCAGAGCATCGTGGCTTTCTATGCCAACCAGCCGCGTTCGAGCCGCTCTTTGGTGGCTTGGATTGTAGCAGACGGCTTTGCGGATACCTCTGCCCCGAAAAAGGTCATGAACTTGTTGCGCCGCTGCCTGGGTTGCGATGTTCCAGATCCTATTTCAACCATTTTGACGAACTGGGGGCGAGATCGGCGCTTCTTGGGTTCATGGTCCTACCTGTGCGCCGGTCAGGCACTAGACGCATTTGGGGCGCTCAACAAGCCATTTGGAAGAGTCTTCTTTGGCGGAGAGCATACGCACCCAAAGTACTTCGGGACAGCGCATGGTGCGTATGAAAGTGGGGCCAGGCGAGGAATGGGATGTGGTTTCAAACGAAGCTGAACAAACAGAGTTCGATTTGCAGCAAGAGCAATCCTGTGCGCAAGCCCTGCAATTTCGCAACGTAGAAATCCTGCCAGGTGTGCTCAAGAGGTGATCGATGCGCTCTCCCGGCCTTCGTGAAGCTTTATTTCATTGCACCTGTGAGGGGGAAGCATTCTATGAATCTTGGTTGTTGGCTTGTGGTACAAGTTCCTGTGATGAACCCTCCGAGCGGAGCAGAAACAGATGCAGATGCTGAGTAATGCAAGGAAGTACCAAGTATTTTCTGCATTATTCGTTTGCTTGGAATTCTCATGCAGCTTGAATCTTCTTTGCACAGATTCGAATTTAGGCTGTGGCTTCCGGAGGGAGGTGGGAGGAGAGGGGACGGTTCCGCAAAGACTTTTCCAACTGGGATACATGCACAGGAGCGTGGGCATGGGATGCAGGGAAGGGCATTCTCCGACGTTTTGCAGTTCCTCAAAGCTGGAGGCAGTTGCAGGCCTTCCATCGATCATTGAGTCAGGCGGCGGTGCAAGCGAAGATGTGGCCATACCGTCAGCCGCAATCATTATGAACTTGCAGCTGTATCATGCTACGGTGTAAGTCGGTACTCTGGCCCCTAGCGTGGATGCACATCGCAGTTATTGCAGGCTCGAGCAGGAACCGCAAGGCTGAACGCGAGCTCCTTCGTCCCAGACATGGGCGTCGTTGCCGCGAGAGCGGCCGAGCCAGAGGCTCGTGACGGGCAGTACGACTACGTCATCGTCGGTGGTGGTTCAGCGGGCTGTGTCGTTGCATCTAGGCTCAGCGAGGATCCGACTTTGTCTGTTCTCTTGATCGAGGCCGGTGGTGGCAACCAAGACTGGGCAGTGCAGTCGCCCTTCTTTGGTTGTGCCCGTCTGCCGCACAGTGACAGGGACTGGAAGTATGAGACCGTGGAGCAGGAGGTGACTGGGGGTCGATCACATCACTGTCCACGAGGCAAGCTTCTTGGAGGCTGCAGCTCGATAAATTCCATGGTTTGGGTTCGCGGAGATCCACGAACCTTTGACGACTGGGAGAAGCGCTTGCACTGCAAAGGTTGGGGTTGGAAGGATGTGCTGCCGTACTTCCGCAAGTCGGAGCAATTCAATGGCCCGGACCCACACGACCTACGGGGTTCTGGAGGGCCGATCCAGGTCAGCGTAGCCAGCAGGGGCGAGTTGGCCAGTGAGCCCACGTGCCAACTTTTCCTGGACGCTTGCAGCCAGTGCGGAATCCCCACCAATCCGGACTACAACGGTCTGCTGCAGGAAGGTGCAGCCATGGTTCAGGCGAACGTGAAGGATGGCATGCGGTACGACACGGCAACTGCGTACCTCTACAAGACTGGTGCAATGAACCGCCAAAACCTGACGGTTCTTACCGAGTCCTTGGCAACCCGCGTCGTGCTTGAGGGCAAGCGCGCCAGCGCGGTGATGTTCCAAAGGAGGGGGGCACTTGGATGCGCTCGTGCCAGGCGTGAGGTCGTCCTATGCTGCGGTGCCATTGCAACGCCACAGCTGCTGATGCTTTCAGGCATTGGGCCCAAGGCTCATCTTACGGATGTGGGTATCGAATGCGAGGTTGATCTTCCCGTGGGTGAGAATCTTCAAGATCATGTGATGTGGGAGATGAAGTTCCAGGCCAAGAGGCCAATGCACTTCAACCCCGCTCGACCCTTCAGCTTGGCCTTCGGCCGCAGTTCTGCGCTGAGTTTACGGGGCTGATTGGGTCCAGTTGACAGATTTCTCAGGCAGCTGACCTATGACTTGATACTGAGGTCTATGGCAATACCCTCGTGGGACAGGTGTCTTCAGCTTTCCGCCGGTGACGGCTGTGGCTTTCACCCAGTCCAAGACCCCTGGCAGCATGCCGGAGAGGGGAAACGATGTCCAATTCCACATGCTTCCGTTCTTCCTCAGTGAATTTCCCTTTACGTCATGGTGGCCAAAGATCCCAGCGCGACAGGAGGTTTCGGAAGGCATCTTGCTATTTCCCACCCTCCTCTTGACGAGGAGTCGCGGGCGCCTGTGGCTGAGATCCAAAAGCCCTTCCGAGCATCCGGCACTGGATCCTTGCTACCTGAAGGACATGCATGACATCCAGGTGGGTATAGCCGCACACCGCATGGCTCGGGAGGTCGTCAATGCCCCGGCGTTCCAAGGCTGGCTTGAGAGCGAGGTGCTGGATCCGTTGATTAATCACCCACCAGAGTCAGAGGAGTACATCGCCGAGTACATTCGACGCCACGCTAACACCGTGTACCATCATTGTGGCACTGCCCGGATGGGATGCGATGGTGACACCGAAGCTGTGCTCGACCTCAAGCTTCGCGTCCGTGGCGTGAGTGGGCTGCGGGTGGCTGATGCCTCGGCCATGCCGGGCATAGTGACGGCCAACATCAACGCCGCGGTCATCATGATCGGCGAGCGGGCAGCGGACTTCATACGTGAGAGGGCATGACGAGGGCCATGGACCACGGCCCGGGCGATGCCGGTGGAGGCCCTGTGGCCTCAGAGGAGTGGGCACCTGATGCAGCTGTTTGTCGTTGATTGTGCAGAGGTTGTAAAGTCCTGAGGCCTGCCTGCTAGCAGCCAGTGCAGATTGTCAGAGTGTTTTTGTCTTCTGTCTTGACTACTGGGTGCTGGAGCTGGATCAGGCCTACATAGAGGATAAGGCTGCGTAAGAGACTAGAAAGCAAGTATTACAGTGGAGGTAGTTGGCGAAAGTCAGTCATGTTTCCCTCAATGGTACCGGACAGTTATACGCAGATGATTGCTGGTCATGTTTGCACCCGAGTGGTTCACCGTCAGTTGTTTGTGAAGTCATGGACATCAAGCATTATTGTCGTCCAGTGCCTGACGACAGATGCAAATGCAGGATGTGGGTCCAACGACTTGTTGATCAAGCAAGCACGTGCTTGGAACAATCTTGTAGCTTAAGTTGACATCAGAGTGTTGAAACACAGATAACTCCCGAAAGCCTTTATGTGGTAGTTTGTCGCAGTTTGCTTGACGAAGCGACAAAAGCTGGAGTGTTGTGGGGTTGGGGATGATGCCGCTTCGCTCGCACCCCATATTGCCGTGCGCATGGCCAGCGTCAACGCAACCGCAAGTGCTTGCGCATTTGGTTGTCCACAGTTCGAAGGCATCTGTAGCCGCCGGCTGTCACGTGTCCTGTGAGTTCACAGATATCAGATACGTGACTTGACAGTGTTTCAATCCGGCGATTCCTATTGGAGATTGTGAGGCCATGTCTTCAGGCTCAGGCGCTCTGTGCCAGAACTGTCACAATAGCAAACTGCAGGCGCTTGTGCCTGAGTCGAGGACATGCCATGCTATTGAGGAAGTAGGCACGGTCGTCCAGTGCTGAAAAAGCTACAAAGAGGTTGGGATTCCTGCGGGTTCGACACGATGTCAATGTCATTTCAAGACAGACAGCTTCTGTTCTAGAGCGGCTTGGCTTGTTGTTAGAAAGCCCTCTTGATGAGATAGCTGATATGACGCACGCACAGGGTTCGCATGGCTCGGCCTTCGACAGACGTTGGCTTGTGGTACAAGCGCGTGTAGAACCCTTTCAGATTCTAATCGAGGTGGGGTTTCGGTGTTCAGCTTGGACAGCAGATGGAGTCTTTCACCGCGAGGTCTTAGATTGCACTTACGGTTTCATCATCCGCAGCGGTGAGACGAGTCAGAACAAGAAAGGCGCCAATGATTCCCAGTACTGGTGGCCAGAAGTCTCGCTTGCAAAGTCTTGGACTCTGCAGCTGCCCTGTTAAATCTGAATCCTCCGATTTGTCCTTGCGCTTTGCTGCGAACTACTCTACATATGTAAAGGTGGGAAGCCGGCCATGTAGTTGCAGAAGTGACATTTTTGGAAACTTAGGGCTGCATGCTGAGAGGCTTAGATGTTTGTTCCAGGCCAGGGCCAATCTGCAGGGGACAGCCTCGCGGATGTGTTCCACACCCGCGAGGAGCATGCAGTATGGATTACAGTATACAAGCGGGTGACCGGAGCCGACCACTTCGATCTCACATTTCATTCCATTGGAGCAGAAATCAGCAAGCACATAGCAGAAGGTCTAGCAGAAGGTCTTGAGAGTGCCGTTTGAGCATGGTGCAGAACCATTCAGTGACGAAGGTGGTGCTCGCACGGCAGCAGTCTGGCTCTAGCTGCATCGCACTCGCCGCAACCTGCTGTACACCTTTCAGAGCGCTTCTGTTTCGCTCTCTCAGGGTCTTGAGCTCAGTGGTCGCACGGGGGTTTAGTCGCGCACTTGCGATGGCCTGCTCAGCTCAGCCTCGGTCCAGAGGTGTGTCTTTTCCGTAGGTTTGGTCAGGATAGGCTCAGCACGGCAACACTTGTCGAGGTCTTTGTTCAACTTTCGCAGCTTCTGTCCCGCGCAGCGTCGGGCACTCGGACAAGTAACACTGCCCAAAGTGGTTCATGTTCAGCTTCGTGCGAAGGTAAGCAGCAGCAAGATGCTGGACGTGGTGATCGTCGGAGCAGGGATATCGGGCATCTCCTGTGCGAAGCACATCCGCGCCAGCGATGGCATGCGGCAGCATCGCATCAAAGTCCTGGAGGCCACAGACAGAACAGGCCAGTTCTCACTGCGATTACACGTGCCGTAGATTTTCAGCGAGTGCGAGGCTTTAGGTAATGGAGTCTTCGATTCTTCGATTGTGAGAGTTGGCTGCATGCAGCTTCTGATTGAAGGAGGACGCGCCAAGACCGTCGTGCAGAAAGACGGCTCAATTGTCGATTGGGGCACAACCTGGATCCACGGCGGACCAGGGAATGCCGCTTGGCGTTGCGTGTTGTTTCTGGTTTCAATGTGTTTCATGCAGAGGGCTGTTAGGCTCAGAATCCGCATGCGTCTGACCGTCTATCTGACCTGTCTGCGAAGGTGATCCATGATTTTGCGACAGAGAAAGGTTTGATGCTGGACAAGGATTGGATGTCCGATCCTAAGTGGCAGTGGGAGGTACTGCCGTTGAGGCATTTGCACGGGTCGGAAGCTTCCCCCGCCGAGAAGCAAGCGTTCGACGAAATGGAGAAGGCATTTGACGGCTTCACAGAAAAAGAGGCAGTCGGCGACCAAGCCGACGAAAAGTCATTGGGGGCTTTGTTGGATGAAGAGTTCCAGAAATGGGCGCAGCAGAAAGAGCATGATGCAGGAATGATGCAAACAATGTTTGAATTTAAGAAGCGCGAGATGTCGTCGGGCGTCGGAAGTCCGGACTTATACACCGCGAGTGCAAATGGCTTTGTCCAGGCCGAAGACGGTTTCGGTCACGATTGCATCCCACTGCCCCACGGGTATTCTTCCATCGTTCGAGCGTTGCTGGAAGAGGTTCCGGACTTGGATGTTCAGTACGACGCAGCGGTTAAGGAGGTGACCAGTCACGACAACCACGTGGAGATCACCTTGGAGAATGGGGACAAGCTGCAGGCACGCACAGTGGTTTTCACAGTGTCCGTGGGTGTGCTGAAGTCAGGACAGATTCGATTCAAGCCGGAGCTTCCGCAGGAAAAGCAAGAAGCCATTCAACGGATGGGATTCGGGCATGTGGAGAAGTGCATCTTGACGTTTGACAGCGATACTTGGGAAACTCTGAAGCATGGAGTTCACTGTTTGTGGCCACCTGAGCGTGATGGATATCGGAATGCCGTCCTGAACGATTGGGAGCCTTGGCGCGAGCTGTTCACGGTCTTTTGTGGTTGTCTAGTTTGTTCCCGAAAACGCCTCTGGGGTTGGGTTCTCGTTTAGTGCTCCAACGCGAGGTGCGCGATGTCGGGCCCTCTCTTAACGGAAGAGCTTTTGGGGGACTAACCGCTGGACGGGCCTTGATATCGGGTGCGCGGACGGTGCGCGGGGTATCGGGTGCGCGGACGGTGCGCGGGCGTGGACAAGGGGCGGGAGCGCGATATCGGGTGCACGGACGGTGCGCGGGGGAGGGCGGTGACAAGGGGCGGGAGCGCGATATCGGGTGCGCGGACGGTGCGCACGGACAAGGGGCGGGAGCGCGATATCGGGTGTGCGGACGGTGCGCGGGGAAGGGCGGGGACAAGGGGCGGGAGCGCGATATCGGGTGCGCGGACGGTGCGCAGGTTACGGCGGGGTGACAAGGGCAGGACGCTGCCGCAACTCGAAGATTGCTGGACGTGAGAAAAGAATCGTGCGGACTTCCAGTCTGGCAGTATTCTCTTCGCCTGGGTTTTCGGGTTCCCGGCTTGACCTTGTTTTCGTGCCATACAAGGAGCAGAGTATTGTGGCCTTCTACCCCAACCAGCCGCGCTCAAGCCGCTCTTTGGTGGCCTGGATTGTGGCAGACGGTTTCTCAAATACTTCTGCGCCGGAGAAGGTCATGAACTTGTTGCGCCGCTGCCTGGGTCGCGACATTCCAGATCCCGTAGAGACCAACTTGACGAACTGGGGGCGAGATCGGCGCTTTTTGGGCTCCTGGTCCTATCTGTCCGCCGGTCAGCCGCTAGATGCGTTTGGGATGCTCGGCAAGCCATTTGGAAGAGTCTTCTTTGGCGGAGAGCATACGCACCCAAAGTACTTCGGGACAGCACATGGTGCGTATGAAAGCGGGGCCAGGCGCGGACTGGGATCTGGGCTCGAAGAAAGCTGGGCAAAGGGAGTTTGGAGATCGAACTGAAGGACAAAAAACCCTCGTGGAAACCCCGCAAGCCTGAAACTTGTTGCGGAATAGCTGTATTTCTGTACAGACGTACGTTCCGATTTCCCTGCACAGGTGTGCCCAAGAGGTGATCGATGCGCTCTCCCGGCCTTCGTAAAGCTTTATTTCATTGCACCCATGAGGGGCAAGCATTCTATCAGCCTTGGTTCTTAGTCTTGGCTTGTGGTACAAGCTTTGAGCAGAGTAGAAACAGGAGCAGATGCTGTCTTTTGCTAGGACATGGGATTCCGCATACTTGCTTTTCTTGCTGCCATGATACATGTAGTTTTCGCATTCGCTTTTAGGCTGTAGCTTCACAAGGGAGGTGGGAGGAGAAGGTTAGACAGAGAGTGTTTTCCGCTTTGATGTCTTTGTATCGGCTCCTTCCATCGCACTTATTGCAGGCTCGAGCAGGAACCGCAAGGCTGAACGCGAGCTCCTTCGTCCCAGACATGGGCGTCGTTGCCGCGAGAGCGGCCGAGCCAGAGGCTCGTGACGGGCAGTACGACTACGTCATCGTCGGTGGTGGTTCAGCGGGCTGTGTCGTTGCATCTAGGCTCAGCGAGGATCCGACTTTGTCTGTTCTCTTGATCGAGGCCGGTGGTGGCAACCAAGACTGGGCAGTGCAGTCGCCCTTCTTTGGTTGTGCCCGTCTGCCGCACAGTGACAGGGACTGGAAGTATGAGACCGTGGAGCAGGAGGTGACTGGGGGTCGATCACATCACTGTCCACGAGGCAAGCTTCTTGGAGGCTGCAGCTCGATAAATTCCATGGTTTGGGTTCGCGGAGATCCACGAACCTTTGACGACTGGGAGAAGCGCTTGCACTGCAAAGGTTGGGGTTGGAAGGATGTGCTGCCGTACTTCCGCAAGTCGGAGCAATTCAATGGCCCGGACCCACACGACCTACGGGGTTCTGGAGGGCCGATCCAGGTCAGCGATGCCAGCAGGGGCGAGTTGGCCAGTGAGCCCACGTGCCAACTTTTCCTGGACGCTTGCAGCCAGTGCGGAATCCCCACCAATCCGGACTACAACGGTCTGCTGCAGGAAGGTGCAGCCATGGTTCAGGCGAACGTGAAGGATGGCCTGCGGTACGACACGGCAACTGCGTACCTCTACAAGACTGGTGCAATGAACCGCCAAAACCTGACGGTTCTTACCGAGTCCTTGGCAACCCGCGTCGTGCTTGAGGGCAAGCGCGCCAGCGCGGTGATGTTCCAAAGGAGGGGGGCACCTGGATGCGCTCGTGCCAGGTGTGAGGTCGTCCTATGCTGCGGTGCCATTGCAACGCCACAGCTGCTGATGCTTTCAGGCATTGGGCCCAAGGCTCATCTTACGGATGTGGGTATCGAATGCGAGGTTGATCTTCCCGTGGGTGAGAATCTTCAAGATCATGTGATGTGGGAGATGAAGTTCCAGGCCAAGAGGCCAATGCACTTCAACCCCGCTCGACCCTTCAGCTTGGCCTTCGGCCGCAGTTCTGCGCTGAGTTTACGGGGCTGATTGGGTCCAGTTGACAGATTTCTCAGGCAGCTGACCGATGACTTGATACTGAGGTCTATGGCAATACCCTCGTGGGACAGGTGTCTTCAGCTTTCCACCGGTGACGGCTGTGGCTTTCACCCAGTCCAAGACCCCTGGCAGCATGCCGGAGAGGGGAAACGATGTCCAATTCCACATGCTTCCGTTCTTCCTCAGTGAATTTCCCTTTACGTCATTGTGGCCAAAGATCCCAGCGCGACAGGAGGTTTCGGAAGGCATCTTGCTATTTCCCACCCTCCTCTTGACCAGGAGTCGCGGGCGCCTGTGGCTGAGATCCAAAAGCCCTTCCGAGCATCCGGCACTGGATCCTTGCTACCTGAAGGACATGCATGACATCCAGGTGGGTATAGCCGCACACCGCATGGCTCGGGAGGTCGTCAATGCCCCGGCGTTCCAAGGCTGGCTTGAGAGCGAGGTGCTGGATCCGTTGATTAATCACCCACCAGACTCGGAGGAGTACATCGCCGAGTACATTCGACGCCACGCCAACACCGTGTACCATCATTGTGGCACGGCCCGGATGGGATGCGATGGTGACACCGAAGCTGTGCTCGACCTCAAGCTTCGCGTCTGTGGCGTGAGTGGGCTGCGGGTGGCTGATGCCTCGGTCATGCCGGGCATAGTAACGGCCAACATCAACGCCGCGGTCATCATGATCGGCGAGCGGGCAGCGCACTTCATACGTGAGAGGGCATGACGAGGGCCATGGACCACGGCCCGGGCGATGCGGGCCCCAGCTCAAGCACGTTGTGTTTGTGGGCACTGAGCGTTCCGAAGTTTGATTTCTTAACACTTTCTGATGCCGGGATGTTTCACTTGTGAAGGCGGGTTTTAGCAGGTCGTACAATCTCGTACGGTGCGACTGCCTGTTGAATTCATAGAGGCACTGGAGGGTGCTTGTGGTATTTCACAGAGACTCTTCAGCTATGTCATAGATTGGTGCTTGCACATGAGTGGCAGACATGCCATGTAGGCAAGATGCATGTTTACAGACTCTGTTGAGTCGTTAGCGAGAAGAAGCAAGAGCAGGGTGCCGGCAACAGGTGACCCAGAGCATCCGAGCAAAATTGAAGCGGACGTGCAGTTGTACACAGTCGAAGATTTGGCAGTCTCTTGTGAGCATGAAGCATAGGCTGCTCAACAACGAATGCTCGATCACCAGCTGTCTTGCTCAAGCTGTGCTAGCATGCAGCACACACGTGGGGTTGATCAGCGCAGCAGGCGAAGTTTCGGGGTAGCATTGCTGCTCCTCGGAGTCGTACTCTGGAGTTCCGAGCGTAGTGACTATGTCGGCATTCAGTCACAGATTTGGCTCTGCGTTTCACTTCACGGCAGTCTCTTTACGAAGATAAACCCACCACGGGGTGTTCAGCACGGCAGAGCTTGTCGAGGTCGCTCCTCAACTTCAGCAGCTTCTGTCCCGCGCAGCGTCGGGCACTCGGACAAGTAACACTGCCCAAAGTGTTTCATGTTCAGCTTCGTGCGAAGGTATTAAGCAGCAGCAAGATGCTGGACGTGGTGATCGTCGGAGCAGGGATATCGGGCATCTCATGTGCGAAGCACATCCGCGCCAGCGATGGCATGCGGCAGCATCGCATCAAAGTCCTGGAGGCCACAGACAGAACAGGCCAGTTCTCACTGCGATTACAAGTGCTGTAGATTTTCAGCAAGTGCGCGGCTTTAGGTAGTGAAGTCTTCGATTCTTCGATTGTGAGAGTTGGCTGCATGCGGCTTCTGATTGAGGAGGACGCGCCAAAACCGTCGTGCAGAAAGACGGCTCAATTGTCGATTGGGGCACAACCTGGATCCACGGCGGACCAGGGAATGCCGCTTGGCGTTGCGTGTTGTTTCTTGTTTCAATGTGTTTCATGCAGAGGGCTGTTAGCTCAGAATCCGCATGCGTCTGACCGTATATCTGACCTGTCTGCGAAGGTGATCCATGATTTTGCGACAGAGAAAGGTTTGATGCTGGACAAGGATTGGATGTCCGATCCTAAGTGGCAGTGGGAGGTACTGCCGTTGAGGCATTTGCACGGGTCGGAAGCTTCCCCCACCGAGAAGCAAGCGTTCGAAGAAATGGAAAGTGCGTTTGACAGTTTCACGGACAAAGAGGCAGTCGGCGACCAAGCCGACGAAAAGTCACTGGGGGCTTTGTTGGATGAAGAGTTCCAGAAATGGGCACAGCAGAAAGAGCATGATGCAGCAATGATGCAAACAATGTTTGAATTCAAGAAGCGCGAGATGTCGTCGGGTGTCGGAAGTCCGGACTTATACACCGCGAGTGCAAATGGCTTTGTCCAGGCCGAAGACGGTTTCGGTCACGACTGCATCCCATTGCCCCACGGGTATTCTTCCATCGTTGACGCGATGCTGAAGGAGGTTCCGGGCTTGGAGATTCAGCATGGTGCAGCAGTGAAGGAGGCGACCAGTCACGATGACCATGTGGAGATCACCTTGGAGAATGGGGATAAGCTGCAGGCACGCACGGTGGTGTTCACAGTGTCCGTGGGTGTGCTGAAGTCAGGACAGATTCGATTCAAGCCGGAGCTTCCGCAGGAAAAGCAAGAAGCCATTCAACGGATGGGATTCGGGCATGTGGAGAAGTGCATCTTGACGTTTGACAACGATACTTGGGAAACTCTGAAGCATGGAGTTCACTGTCTGTGGCCACCTGAGCGTGATGGATATCGGAATGCCGTCCTGAACGATTGGGAGCCTTGGCACAAGCCCTTGCCGGGCTTCTGTGGCAGGCTGGTAGCCTCTTACTTCACGCAGCATCCATGCAATAAGTGTGCTTGAACAAGCATTGCTGCCAATTGTTTTGCGTCGATGGCATCGGTATGTTGGTGGATGGACGGTTATGAACGTTAGCTTGCACGTGTTCTATTGACATGCTGATGATGATGAGGAGGCTCAAGCACGGGATCAAGACAGGTGTAATTACGATAACGATGGCGGCGAGTGGCAGCGATGATGATGGTAATGGTGATAGTGACGATGTTGGTGATGGGTGATGGTGGTGATGATGGTGATGACAGTGTTGGTGACGAATATGACTCTAATATTCAGTCAAAAAGGTTGTTACCGTTGCTGTTGTTGCTGTTGTTATTCTTGTTGTGGTTGTTGTTGAAGATGAGGATGTGTGAGAAGCTCTCTCAAGTCCTTGGTCCAAGACTCTTTAAATCGATTGTCTAGTTTGCCTTTGGGTTGTGCCATACGAGGAGCAGAGCATTGTGGCCTTCTACCCCAACCAGCCGCGTTCGAGCCGCTCTTTGGTGGCCTGGATTGTGGCAGACGGTTTCTCAAATACTTCTGCGCCGGAAAAGGTCATGAACTTGTTGCGCCGCTGCCTGGGTCGCGATGTTCCAGATCCCGTAGAGACCAACTTGACGAACTGGGGGCGAGATCGGCGCTTTTTGGGCTCATGGTCCTATCTGTCCGCCGGTCAGCCGCTAGATGCGTTTGGGATGCTCGGCAAGCCATTTGGAAGAGTCTTCTTTGGTGGAGAGCATACGCACCCAAAGTACTTCGGGACAGCACATGGTGCGTATGAAAGCGGGGCCAGGCGCGGACTGGGATCTGGGTTCGAAGAAAGCTGGGCAAAGGGAGTTTGGAGATCGCACGGAAACCCCGCAAGCCTGAAACTTGTTGCGGAATAGCTGTATTGACACACGTCCCAAAGCATCCTTTCGATTTTCCTAGACAGGTGTGCCCAAGAAGTGATCGAGAAGCTCTCCCCGCCCTTGTGAAGCTCGCTCGGATTGGTTGCTCGTGTGAGGTGCAAGCCTTCTATCAGTCTTGACTGGTGGCTTGTGGTACAAGCTAATGTCGAACCTTTTGAGCTGAGTGAAGGGAGGCAACGCTCACAAAAAGGAGGCTGCGAGGCACTGGGGCATCAGGAGATTTTTGGAGCCGTGCCTTGTGGCTGTGGAAGAGAAAGCCGTGTCTACAGCCAAAAATATGTGAAGCTAACCAGAACACTACTATCAATTGTACAGCCACTTGCATCCAAGAAAAGGCGATCCGTGTATGCTTGGTTATGATGTATGATCCAACCCACATCACGTGATCTGCCGATGTCAGAGCGATGGATGGAAGCTGCGACTGCAACTCTTTGCCGAATTGATCTATGAGCTGTCCAACTTCGCTCACGTAGCACGGCCAGCTAGCAGCAGCGCTCATCACAGCTTCACATCTCAAACCTTACTATAGCTGGGCTTGACATGCGGTCCTAACGCCAAGGAAGCCTTCCCATTGCTTTCGACACGAGTCTTCTCTGCCATCATGTCACAAAGCCGCAAAGCCTCGTAATGCCTGAAACCACATGGGCAGTCGGTCTCGTGTGCCTCAGCCTGAGAACTTCCACCTGGGTTGCATAAACGGGAGTAAACAGGAAATGAACGGCTAACTTACTGTGGGTTGTGCAGTTGGGATCCTTCTTGTCTACCTGCAAAGAGCGGTAAGATCCGAAGAGTCCAGACAGCCCCGACCGTTTGCTTGCATGGGGCGTCGCGAGCAGCGCTTCCTGCCAGAGTTCTGTGATGCAGCGCGCCCAGATCATGTGCAGGGCCTTCGATCTTTACTGCAGGGTTTAAGATGCGCGGGTGTGGGGCTTCACGGTTGACGGTTTAGAGGGGTTGGGGATTGGCTGAGTTGGCACTACCATGCATCAAGTCTAGACCGCCCTTCAGGCAAACACCCGGCATCAGTCCCCAAGCACCTGGAGTCGCGGTGATGCCTCGATGAGGCCGGGTTCTTAGCCCGCCAGATGCTGACTCAGCGATCCCTGCAGAGGTGGTGGGGTGGAATGAGGAGGGGCTCGGGTCTTGAGATCTTGTAACGTAGGTGTTCCTCTCGGGTTTGCTGGTCAGACATCGCCTGCGCGGCAGATTTTGCCTTCAGGGCCGGGCCAAGCTGAGCTGGGCGCATCTGGCACTGATGACTTGGAGAGCGTGACTCCGCAGGCCGGGCTCAGACGAAGCTCCAGGAAAGTGCACCCAGCAAATTCATCAAAACACCCGGAAGGAGCACCAGCGCTTGGAGAAGGCGGAGACCCTGCCCTGCACCGCCAGGTGCAAGCGGGCGGAGGAGCTTGTGAATGAAGGGCTCGAGGTTGCTAGATGCCACGCTTCTCAGAAACATGGCTATGCAAACTATGCCCCTAGCATGCTTGTACATGCTTGTTGGAACAGGGGAGAGCACTCCGGTTCCCGTGCAAAGAATGGACATCCTGCATTCTGAAGATTGAAGTTTAATTCTTGCGGAGGACAGCCAAAGAGCTGATGACTTCGAGGAGTCCCTGCATGCCTTGGTTAGGGCCCTACTCTTCGTCTTCCGGAAAGGGATTTTGTATTCTTTCGATGAAGGTGCCATTGTCAACTAATCTCAACGCGAACTTTCCCGAATGATGTGAGATGTCCCCTAAAATGTCTTATATGGTTCGTTTAGACCTAATGTACTTCCGTAGATGGACTAGTTGTTGGATCAGTCGCTACGGCAGCATCAAGCAAGTCCTTCAGTGGGATCGTCCGAGACTCCATGGACATGGCAGTCTTCAACTTTATGGGGGCTTGTCTGCTAGCAGTGCAAAGTCCACCGGGCTTCGTAGATTTCCCCAGGCCGTCCACCTCAACCCGACTGGCCCCAGATCTTCCCGTGGCCCAAGGCTGTCGCAGGTGCCGGCCAGCCAGGTGCTTGGGGCAACTTTGGGAGGGGCTTGGAGGTAGAGGCTTAGGAGGGGCCGTGAGGTTGAACTGCCTTGCCCGCCGGGTTGTCTCGCACCATCTCTCGTAATCGGAAGTCGAACAGAGTGCAGGCCTGTGGACTCGCTCGAAAAAAAGCCTCGCGAGTCCACAGGCCTGCACTCTGTTCGACGTCCTCCCTTACAGCCAAATGAAGTTTTGGGCAAAGAGCATTCATTGGCTTTGCTGGACCCCTGCAATCGCCACGCCGTCTGTATTGCGGTTCAAGACGAGACTGGGCCAGTTGTTTGTCGGTCTCAGCCGCCTAAGCGCCTGTGCTTTAGCTCATACTCCAGTGCTCCAGGTGGCAACTGCTGACGTGTTCCCTATCTACCAGAGTTGAATGGGATAGCAAGTCCATCGTGCTGCCTGCAGGCCCGCGGGACGGAGCTCTGAGTTCGTCACGGTCTGAGCCTCGATGTGCAGTGCACTTGGTGGTGACAGACTCATTGTCCCAGACACACGTCGTTGCTTCAGAGTGGCTCCAACCCCGGTCAGTAGCTTGAAGTGTGAAAATTCGCGCGAGATGCCGAACAAGGCAACGAGCTGCTTGATGCTTCTGTCACTTGCCCGACTCACGGCCGGTCGACTGGCATGCCAGGCTTCAAGCTCTTGCTTTGCAGGCGACAATGAGAGCTTCGGGTTTTTGCAGCTTCAAAGTCGAGGTTCCGCGAAGGAGTCACAGCCCTCGCAGGCTCCGGCTCCGGGCTACACCGTCTTCGAGGACTTCGAGATGTACACTTCCCCCGGCCAGTGGCCGCCTTCAAACGTGACGGTGATAGACGCCTCAAGTGCTGGTACAGTGGTGTTTGATGGTACCAACCGGTTCCTGACTGGAGCATCCACTCCGGTGTCAGGCATCATCTTTGATTCACCGGTCACCAGCAAGGTAGGAACCACCTTGCAAGCTTGGCTTCGATTCCCGCCAACGGGACAGGGTGATGGCCCCATCAACATCGGCTTCGACAGCAACTCAGATTCGGCCAAGTATTTGCAGGTGAACCGGCGGCAGCGAGAGGTTAGAGGCCCGTACGTCATAGAAGTCCGATTTGGAGAAGCCCTGTTGGGGGAAGTTACCTCTTTCTATGGAGTCAGCGATTTCGAGGGTCCTTGGCATTGGGCCCAGGATTATCAGTTTTTCAATGCGGACGAAGAGTGGATTAGAGTTTTGATAACCGTCCTTCAAGGTCAGATTGTGTGGGCGAGGATCTACGACTACTTCGGAGACTTTCGGCTAGCAGCGTGGCACAATTTCTGGCTGGGCAGCTCTCGAAACAACGAGGAATTAGACTCGTCTCTGTTTGGTAGCACGATCTCCCAATCTGGGACTTCGTCCGTATGGCTCGACGGGGATCGCCAAGTGGACGAGCTCGCGACCTGCCAAGCTCCGATCCCGGCGTCGCGGGTCTCCACGGACCAAGGGCAGTGCAGCCACTCCTTCGCCTTTGATGACATCTGCATCCCTTCACTGTCCTACACCTGCACCCCGAGCACTTTGCCCTTGGGGACCTCTACAGTGGAGTGCGTGGGAAAGGATAGGAACAGTAGCACTAGCAGTAGATTCCGTGGTGCCCGGAGCCGTGGACCAGACAATGTGTACAACTTTGAGATCACGGTCGTCGACCCGCAGCCGCCCGTCTTTGACACCCTTCCGAACGTGACTGTCAATGCGGGTTGCCAGGGCATAAAGCAAGTTTTCTTCGAGGCCACGGCCACGGACGACTGTTCCACGGAGATCACCTGCACTCCCGCATCCGGCTCCCTCTTCCCGGTAGGAAACACGACAGTGGAGTGCACGGCAACTGATCCGTCCGGAAACACTGCCACGTCCAGCTTTCGGGTGGGCGTGGCCGGAGATGTTGGTTGCAACTCCTCCTCCCCTCCGTGGAGCCCTCCGTGTGATTCGGTGCCGAGCCTTCCGGATATTCCCAGCATCGATGCCGAGTCCCCCTCCTGTACCACAGCCCAGGTCAGTTTTGATGTCTCCGTGGTGGCAGGCTGTGGAGCTGAATCCGTTTGCGTACCCCCCTCCGGCTCCTTGTTTCCGCTGGGAATCACCAAGGTGACCTGTACGGCATCCAACGAAGTTGGCAATGACAGCATGAGCTTCGAGGTCAAAGTGTCGTGTACCAGGCCACGCCCACGGTGGCGTCGTCGACAATTGCAATCTTATGCCGATGCTTCATGATGTTTCCTCGAACCTGCAAAATGTCAGGGCCTTGTAGAGGGCCAGACGTTTTCAAATTCCCTCGTTTGACGGAGCTGGTCTTCTCGCAGATTCTTCATGGTCCCAGTTGGAGACTCACTTTCCTTTGGCCGTCGTCCCAGCCTCACAATTCTAGCCCACGGTGGGGCTGTGACGTGTACAGCTAGCTGTTTCTTCTACTTCCACCAGCGTTGTAGAACACATGTTCAGACAAGGCTCCCTTTGAAGGTGCCATTCAGGACACCTCTGGAGGTTCCTTCATGAACTCTTGACTTGGATTACTCACGAGCCGCCATGCTCACTATGCTGTTGAGACGGCAAGCGAGGAACAAAAACAGCGATCAGACGATTCGTTCAGCAGCCGCTGCTCTACTATATACTCGTGTCGCCACCCAATCCAACCCAAACGCTAAGCTGCAAGCCCTCGATGACTCCCAAACATGCCAAGTACTCCACCAGGCCAGTATGTCAGTATGTCGGATAGCAGCCGTAATAACCCTGAGTTAGTGGTTGGCAAAGCGAAGTGCATTCGTATTCCCACTCTTGCACACAGGATTCCGATGCCGGCGGCGAGCTTCAACTGTGCTTCGGTGGCCCATACCTTCAGGCAGGCTACGGTGTGAGTGTGGAGTGATGGATGCGTGTACTGTAGCAGAGGGTAGGCGGCGTGATGGAGTGAAACCGGCAGGCCAGGCATGGCCGGGCCAAGCTTGGACGGCACCGGAGGCTGAGGCTCAGAAGCTCTCCGTGTGCACCCGGCAACTTCCATCAAAGCGCACAGAAGGAGCAGCGAGGCCTCGGAAGCGGTGGCCTCGTACCGCCAGGTGCAGGAGGGTGTGGCAGTGTAGCTTGTGACTGAAGGGCTCGAGGTTGTTGCAACCGAAGCCTCTCAGAAACATACATAGCTCTCCAACCCACGCCCGAAGCACTCGCTTTTCTGAACAGAGGAGAGCGCACCAGAACGGATCCGTACAAACAAATCAGGGAATCCCACATTCTGGAATCTTGCCTTGGTTAGGGCTTCGTCTTCCTGAAAGGGATACTTAATGATAATTCATAATCAGTTAGAATGAATAGTTATTTAGAGCAAGGAATTGTTATTAAATAATAATGAATAGCCGTTAATACTGAGATTAGGCCGTGGCCGTTGCTTCGAGCTCTGAAGGTGCCCGTGTTGACTCATCGCTATAACTATCTTGCACGGTTCGTCTTAAACCTAAAGCACTTCCGTAGAGAGGCAGTTTTGCTTGAGAGGCGGTTTCGCAGTTGCCATGAGGTGAATCCTTGAGGGCACCAGGCGATTGAAGGAGCCCGAGCCCAAGCCTCGCAGAGCAAAGCTTCCAAGGGGGCTTAGACTTTGTGGATTCAGGCTTCAGCAGCTTAGGTCTTTGGAGACGTAGCAACCTGCAGCCGTTTGTGAAAGTTGAAGGGTTAGCCTCCGACGGGAGCTGGGACGCAGGCCGTTGGATGTGGCTACGGAAGGATGCCCGAACAGCTCCTCTCAGCCTTCCATCGGGGTTGTGTTGCATTCATCAGATCTTCGCATGGCCCGAGGCTGCCGCAGGAGGGGCTGCCTGTCAACCAGGCGCTTTGGGCAGGGGGTGGAGGCTTAGCACGCGGCGTGAGTTTGAAATGCCTTTCCTGCTGGGTTTTCTTGCACCATCTCCTCACATTCATGTTATCTGCATCGGTGATGGCCCCAGCCCATCGTGGAAAGCTAGCCATGCTGTGATTTGCAACCGTCTGTCGGAGCATGTCGGCAAGCCACCAGCCACTGACTTCACCCTGTTTCACAGACTGGCGAAACTAAGACTAAGAGGGAAATCGTGGCTAATTCGGAGCAGTTTGCTCTCGATGCCATGGTGACTCCGCCCACTGCCGAAGACCTTGAGGCGCAGCCTGCACAGCTCAGGCGCATCGGGGCCGGAGTGGGTTACGTCCTGCATGGATTAATTTTCGAATTCGAGGGTGGCATCCGGAAGGGGTGCCTGTTGGATGATGACTGCACGAAGATGGACATTTGTGATAATGCTGCGTGCAAGAAGCGCAAAGTCAAATGGCATGCAATCGAAGCAGATGACTTCATAGTCAAAGTTTGTGGTCATGGCTCCAAGCCTATTGGTGGTACAAAAATGTACCTCTGCCACACCCTTACATTGACAACTCGCTTGGGGAAGACCATCACCTTTGAGGGGAAGAACCGGATGAAGAAGGGACGGCCCTTCCCTGCCTTCAGAGCCGACTCCAACTTCGAGATCTGCAGGCTGATCTTCTCAGAGGGCTGTGTCATTGGGGCCCTGGAGAGGCCACTTTCCCCTTCTTTCGAGGAGATCTGGGTTCAGAGGGAGGAACAGAGCCCTCTCGAGTTGGAGTGCCCGGACCTTCCACGTAAAGACAACATCATGATCCCTCCAGGCAGCTGGGCAGAGAAGAAGGGCTTACGCAGAGGCGACAAGCTCGTGCGCATCAACGGCGTGAGGACTTACCAGATGCGCTCCCCAGAGGAGCTCCAGACTGCACTCAGCGCACGGCCTCTGCAGCTCATCTTTGTGAAGATGGTGCCCCATAAGGCCACGTCGACAGAGGAACTGCAGCGGGTTAAGCTGGTTGAAGGATCAGCATCCCTGGACATCTGTGCAGATGCCCTTCTGAATGAAGGGAATGCAGCCCCCCCGCAAGCCTGCAATACCGAAATGCAGCCACAGGCCCATGCAGCACCCAAAAGAAATCGCTGGCAACGAGGAGTGGACCCCCTCCGGCAGCCTATTCCGCATCACAGGCCCGCGGAATCTGCAGCAGTCGAGGCGATGCCAACAGCGGAACGGAAGCCAGCCCCGGATTTCGACTCTGCATCGCATGGTGGCCCTTACGAGTGGAATCTGGCCGATGTAGCCGGGCCTTATTCGCCAGAACGGGTGTTGGCCTGGGGAGCCAATGCCAGGTATCAGCTACCACAGCCGCCGAGTTCTCCGGCAGTTACTGCCGACGTGGATCGTTTTCTAAAAAGCTTCTTCGAGACACGGAAAGGTCCAGACGGGAAGTCCCTCGAATCCTTGCTTGGGGAACCTGCAGCTGGGCTGCAGTTCAGGGTTTTGGGCGTGGTTCAGGTTTGCATGTCCGCCTGGACCGCTCCTTCCGAGGCGCCGTACAACGACGGTTGGTGGCGCATCCCGTGGATTCCGATGGAGGACTCGCAGCGCGAATTGCTGCGCAAGGGCGGCTGGCAGCGTGGCTGGCACGGCTGCAAGATGGAGGCCTGATGTGAAAAAAACATCTCCCCCCAGATGACAATAGTCAGCAGTCGGAATGAGTGAAGTGGCAAGACGAAGAACAAGCAAACAGAGCAGCAAGTAAAGCAGCAAACAACAATTCTTGAACAGCGTAGCAACACCATCTGCAAAGACACATTTGTGCCCGGTAGTTGTCGATGCCGTGGTTCGAGAACATCCGTGTCTAGAAGCACGCCTCTACACACACCGACAATCACTTCAAGTTCCTAAGTATTTCAAGCCGTCAGATTTGCTGCTTTCTATGAATGCCAAGCCCTTCATTGTAACCGGCGCCCAGGCTCTGTACTCCATCATATACCATGGAGAGCTCTTCCCCAGCAGTGACGAGTCAAAAGGCAACTGACCCAAGTTATGGTTAGCGTTGCTGATATTAGTCCATTATTTTCCACTAATCGTGCAAAGATAGCAAATGGCGCTGTGCTAAGAAGATTAAATGTCAACGATGTGGCAGCCATGTTTGCCGCGAGAGTCGTCATCGTCACCATCAGCATCAGTATCATCGTCATCATCATCGTCATCGCCATCATAATCATCCTCCTCGTCCTCATCCTCATAACCGTTACCATCATTATCACCATCATCACCTCGATCCTGATTTTTCATCCTCATCCTCATCCTCATCCTCATCCTCATCCTCATCAGCATGGTCATCCTCATCCTCATCCTCATCAGCATGGTCATCGTCATCCTCATCCTCATCATGATCGCCAACTTACATCATCACCAACATCACCATCGCCGTCATCGTCATAATCATCGTCGCCATTCTCGCCATCTTCGCTGGCATCGTCAGCATGATCGACACGAGCAGCAGTGCATTGTTGGCGCAGGTCCATTTTTTGATTGATTCTCGCAAATTTTGTTCTCCGTGCCACTTTTGCCTTTGCGGCGGCTTTCTGGCTGCATGCAGCCAGCACCACAGCCACGTAATGCTCGGTAGAACGTGATCACAGGCAACAGCCCAAGAGGCGAAATGGCGCTGCAACAGCGCTACAGCTGGATCACAGTTGCGGGAGTGGGCGAGCCTCAAAGCAGTAGAACGGCGTGGAAGAAAACATGCTTAAATTAGTTGTGGATAGCTCTGAATATGCACTTCTGTGCTGCACCTTCGTCAGCAAGACCAAGCCGCAGTTTATCCTGTAGATTTGAGTATGTTAGCATATTAAAATCTATATAGGATCCGAAAGTATATTATAATTTGTTCAGCTTAGCTTATCATGGTGTAGTCGATCCAGAACTAGCAGCTGATCGCTTAAGGACCCTCAAGCTTGCAAGGAGGTGTAGGTGTTTCCACAGGGTTACGATCAGGATCCTTAGAGGGGCGTAGATAACGGGGACGGGTTGCAAGAGCTTGCCCACCAAGGTGACCGGATGCTTACCGGATGTCCAGGAGTTTACCTGCACCGGGACAGTCTGCATCACAAGGCGGAGAGATGTTCCTGTATTGCTCCGTAGCGTCTCTCTCTACCTGTAGACATGCTTGTCTTCGAATGATAGACATCGGTATACGTGTCTATTTGTGTACATATATATAGATATATAAGCACGCAGACAGATGTATGCCTGTAGCAGTAGCAGTAGTAGTAGCAGTAGTAGTAGCACCACCGTACAGGACCCCTACCCCTACCCCTACCCCTATTCCCCACCCCTACCCTTACCCCTGCCCCTGCCCTTTCCCCTACCCCTACCACTACCACTACCACTACGACTACGACTACGACTACTACTACTACTACTACTACTACTACTACTACTACTACTGCTACTAGCGGAGTGGTAGGGTGGTCGGAGGAGTGGGGATAGGAGTAGGAGTGGGAGCAGGAGTAGAAACAGGAGTAGCAGCAGTGATTGGCGTTAGCAGTGGCAGTGGCAGCAGCATTAGCAGCAGCAGGAGGAGTAGTAGTAGTAGCAGGAGGAGGAGGAGGAGGAGCAGAAGCAGGATGAGGAGGAGGAGGAGGAGGAGGAGTAGGAGGAGCATAGTATCGGTAGTAGCAGTAAGAGTCACATGATTGCGAACATTCATACGTACATACATGCATACATACATGCATGCAGACAGCCAGCCAGGCGGGCAGGCAGGCAGGCAGACAGACGTACATACACATACATACATACATACATACATACATACATATGTACGTACGTACATACATACATACATACATACACATGCATAGACACACACATATGTATATATGTATATATATGTATATGTATGTTTACATACATGCACACAGGCATGTCTACACCCGTGCATAATTGCATACATACCCCAGCGGCACGAACGAATCAAAGATATATATATATATACACACACACACACACACACACATCTTGTCCAGATACGAGAAGTGTGTCCTTTTTCGGTTCCCTTCTCAATCACGCGGGTTTCATGTTCTTGGGTTGGCAGAGCACACGAACGCCTGGACGATCAGCATCTCCGAAGAGACGCAGACAAAAGTCTGTCCAAGTGCTTTGTCCTGCTGCCGAGGTGGAGAACTACATGCGCTGGATTCCAATGTGTGGTGACGGCCTCTTCTGGGCGGCAAAGTGGGAGGTGGTGTATGCTTCCTGGGGGAGCGTGAAGCGTGGGAAGAGGACCGACCAGGTCATACAAAGTGCGGAGTCGGTGGAGCTGGCAGCCCTCTGGCTTTCGGTGCGATCCGCGAGCATGCTGCCGGAAGGGACCCCTGTGCAGGCCAAATGGTCCCCAGAGCGCGAGGCCAACCCATGCTTGACCCAGTCGCGGCGACGCAGCAGCGCTCTGATGGCCTTGGAGGATGTCGCTAGGAACGAGCCTGCCCCGAAAGGGGGACTCCTGGCGCTAGAAGACTGGGCAGCGAGCCCAGCCCCGAAGGAGCAACAGGCTCCTTCCGACCTTCATCTTTGGCCCACCCTGGGTGAAGCGAAGTCTATCGACAACGATGCGGCCGCCGCGAAGCGGCTGGCGCGCACGTCTCGAGCTCAGAGTTCCCGCACGCCGTCGAGCTCTGCTGGCTCTTCGCCGGTGGTTGGCCCAAGTGGCCCACCGGACATTGTCCCCACGCGGCGGTGGGACAGAAAGCTGTCCCAGGCGTGACTGTTGGACCTTCAGGATCCTTTGCGACCGAAACAGGCGGCATCAGTGTTGTCAGATTTCCGTCAGGTCTGTATCCTTTATTAGCCCATGCACTCAAAAGCCATAGCCGCAGGAACGAGGACCGATGCTGGGAAGCTTCAAGATCAAACCGGCGGAGGCTTGGCACGGGTCTATGAGGAGATGTGGAGGCGGAGTGGGATTCAGGGTTCTTTCCTCTTTCCTGCCCTCTCGACAACACGGCTGCCTTCATGCATCAGGAACTGAAATCCGAATGAGCTGAAGTGGCCGTGATGGCCATAGTCACGCTTGGAACACACGGAAGGCACACAGCATACAGTCCAGGCCGCGTCGTGCAAGAGTCGACGTGCATCCTGTGGCGAATCATGTAGACATCACAACATGCCGCTAGATGACAAAGCTGGCACCTTCGCTTAGGTGGTTGCGTGTGGTTGAGATGTTTGAACAGCTGCAACGCATTGTGTAATTGCGATGTTGGAAGTCTCAACATTTTCTTTCGAGCTTTTCTCACTTCATGACTGTCGATGTGGTTGGATGGCAGAGTGTAGGCCATCCGCCGACACCATCGATGCAATTGTTTTTTTGGCTGCATCAGCTCGTGGCTTCCTAGTTTACGTAAAACGCCCAGGATTAAGCCCTGAAAAGCTCATTCTCTAGAGCCTCAACCTAGGACCCATACGGAGTTGGGTCGAGGAGTATGGGTCCAAGGTGTACGTGGGTGGTTCTTGCGTTGAAGCAGTCTCGCTTTTGCAGGTTTTGAGACTCCAGCCCGGGCAGTGTCTGACAGGTCAAGGATACACGGCCTCACTTTCGTATTCAAACCTTGGCCCGTTGGCCATGGAGGTTCGGGCGACGAGGACGATGCCGATGCTTCGGCGCCGAGCTTGGGTTAGAGGCCCCGGTTGGGTTTGAGATTTATTCTTCGGGGGTCCGGCTCCAAACTTACGGAGGTGTAGGGAATGCATTACGTGCGCCACCACCGAAACGTGCTTCAGGTGAACAGCCTGGGGGGTGGCTGCAATGCGTTTATTGCAATGCGATTTTCTTTGGATTCACTCTGGGCCATCCTTGACATGTTCTTTCGACTGCATTCCGAAGCATGCTCAGCTCAGACACTGTGAATAATTGTTACTTTATCATGGCGATGCTGCTGGCGATGATGATGCTGACGATGGCATGAGATTGGACGCCCGAAGTGTTTAAGCTGGAGTCCATGCGCTCTGTTGCACGATGCCGCTGAGGTTTTAATCTCACAAGGAACGCTGGTATGCTCCCGCTAATGGCTCCCAAGAAGGACGGGTCTGCAGTGCACAAAGATAGAACGAGATGAGCTACAGGTAAGGCAGGCTTGCGATGTGGCACAGGCAGTCCTGCAGCCAACTTACTCCTTACTACTTGCCGGGTGCTGCTGCGTTGGAGTCCAAGATCCTCTCCCGACAAAGGTGACAAACTTTGGGATGGTATCGGCACCTGTCGGGTTCGTGGTCCTGCGTCCTGTTTGTCAGTGGGACAGTCGAACGGTGAAGCGGAGAACTCTAAAGTAAGCATCCTCGTTGTTTTTCCTGCGCAGGTCTAGGAACGATGCGGTCCACGACAGCTCCAAGGTCCGGGTTCGCTCGCCCGCGGCTTTGAAGGGTCCAGGGTTGAGGGGGCAGTCGTTCAGCAGCTTCGTTGCCCGGCAGCAGGCCGGGAGTTGTGGGCAAAGACTCCGTTGGGGGGCTGGGCAGAGAACGGTAGGAACGTGGTACAATCTACCACAATATACTGTAGCATATTGTAAGACATTGTAGTACAATGTACCATGATATGCTGTAAGATATTATAGTAATATCTACCCAGTCCCGTTCCCTTCCAGCCGCCAGGTCCGAAGAGGACAAACTCAGGAAGGTGCTGAGGTCTCGCGGCAAGCTTGCTGTGGGAGTTTCCGAAATTCCGAAAAGAGGGGACCCCGATATAGTGCCCTGAATAGTGGCAGTACCCGTAATTTTCGGCACCTCCTATGCTTGTCTGAACTCACCAATCAAACCTAGCCTTAGCCTTGCCTCATGCTTCTTTTGTGTTGCGGCCTTTACATCTGGAACAGCAAGCCGGCGACCATGCACCGAGCTTTTCAGGCAAACCAGTGGGGTCTGATCAATTCGACGCCTGCGTGGAAGTAAAAAGGACAGCCGAGCACGAATCAACTCTCACGATCTGCCGATGTAGGAATGATGGATGGCACCTGCGACTTCAACTCCTTGCTTCAGCGAGCCATAACCTTTCAAGCTTCGCTCGTTCAGGACAGCCATCTAGTCATGACTGCATCAAGTTTCAGCCCTTACCATTCCTGTGGCCATCAGTTGTCCTCAGAGCTGTCGGCCACGGAACAACTCAGCCGTTGTAGTGGAGTTCACCTCCAGATTTGCCCAAGCGCTGGGCTTGACATGTGGTCCTGAGTCGTAGGAAGCCATCCCGATTTTTTGGAAGCCCAGAGTAGTACCGTGATTCAGAGCCTTTTCACCCACCCTAAGCCCCCGAAGTCCCACTCCCTTAACCCGAAGCCCTTACAGTCCTTACCGGTTGCCTCGACGGACCTGGAGACCAGCGCTCCCTTCCGGAGTCGCAGATGCGGTGGGCCCAGATTCTCTTTCAGGGTTTTTTCGGCTTTAGTTCCGGTTATTCCAGGCTTCAGCCCTTAGAGTTTCGCTTCAGGGTTTCTGGTGGGCATCGAACCCATGATGCAGAGATGCGGGTTTCGAGGACATGGGGAACATGCCCATGCCACTGTTCCAAAGACACAAGTGGGCACTGTTGCCAACAGGAGAGCAGGTGACGGGACGCTTTGAAGGCCTCCAGCCTCAAGAGCGCAAGTTCTGGAGGTTAAATAGGGGTGGGAGTACGAGTCGGAGTAGGAACGTGCTAATAACCGAAGCAGGGACGGGTCATAGTTACGATCATCAGCAAACCACTTGCCCAGGTCCAAGCATCAGAAGCGCACGCCGGAGGGTGGCTCTGGCCTCGGGAGTCGACACTTCTCCAGCTCTACTGCAAGGTTTGCTGCAAGGTATGCGAGGGTGCATGAGATGCGGGGATATGGGTCGCACTTCGCTACACAGGTACTTGACAGAATTTTCAGAAGCCCCGCACGCTAAACACTCCACGTGCCAAGATGCGGATGATCTCGCGGAGACGCGCAGAAAAGCGCGACGGATCAACCACTACTTGGACTGCCCCGGGATCTTGACTGGGCTTGATTCGGCTAAACCTCTTCAAGCTGCGCTGCAAGACGCTTACTGATGTCGTGATGGCAGCAGCACCTGGGATCCTGCTCCCATCTTGTATCAGGCAGTAGTAGAAGCCCGAAGACCAGGTCTTGGAAGGCCCAACCCTCGAAGAACAACGAAACCTAAACCCCAGGCTAACCCAGCTGATCCATGAAGCCCCGCAGCAAAACAACAAAAGACCTAAACCACACAGAGAACAACGAAATCAGGACCTGGTTCCGGCTCGCTACTACCTCGGGACGGAGAGTGCCCAGGATTCCGCGCATTATTGGAGGGTTCTGGGCTTCATTTAGCAGTAAGTTTCTCTCAAAATCTTAAGGGTGGTCGGGCTGTGGTAGGTAACTTGTGGAACGTTGAAAATGAAGCACTTGCTCAGCTCCGGTATCCTCTACTAGACCGGAGGCCTCGAAGCGCAACCCCTCAAGCCAAGACTTGAGCCGTCAGTCGCTATGACTGGAAACCCTAGGCCATTGTCATCTGTAAGGAACCTTGCAAAACCTTGAAGACCCTAAAACGCCCTTGGGCAGGCGAAGGGCGGCAAGTGGGCCCACTTGGACCCGAAGCTGGCAGGAGACTCGCACCAGTTGCTCCACTGTGAGCAGGGGATACGAACTATAAGTGGGTTTCCAGTCAGGGTAACTGTGAAACTATCAATGAATGGGTTGCTTTAACCTAAGGGTAGGTTAAAGGTGCCTAAGGCTTGTGTGGGCATGGCTCCGTCTATCGCTCTTTGCTTGAGCGTACCATGATATTCGATTCGTGTGTGCTGGGAACGGTAGCTGTACGTTTTGCTCCAGATGCACATCGAGATGAGGCAAAGTCCACTACACAGCTGATAGCTGAAGCGGCGACAGCTGAAGCGGCGACAGCAGAAGGCGCGGTCTGCATTCTGGCATGAGCCAGCTTGCGCTGCGGCAGAACGGACCTCACTGAAGCTCAGTCTTTCACTAAGCTTGCAGCCTCTGTTGCCAGATCAGCCTGCCACCGCTTCCAAGAAGAAGAAGAGCAAAGACAGGCGCGGCAGCTTCGGTTTTTTTTGGGTTTTAGGGTGTTTGGGGGGCCATGGTCAGAGGGTAGAACTTGGTGGGGTCCGGCTGTTTGGGGCTTCTGAGGACGGCAGCCCTTGCTCCGAAGTCTTGAAAGCACACTCATGGGTGCATCCGATGACCGCGGGCACGGAACCCTAAGCGCCAAAAAGCCCTAAACGCCCTAAACCCTAAGCGCCGGAACGGCCTGAAACCCTAAAGCCCCAAATCCCCTAAGTGCAACTCTGCCTTGTGAGCTCCGGAGGCGCAGCCTCTCGCAGTCGCCAGAGCCTTCGGGGCCCAACTCGCGCCAGAGCCCGTGGGTTGGGGCGAGCCTGGCAGTGGATTTAGGGTTCAGGCTTGAGGATACTTAGGGTTTAGGGAGCTGGGGGGGGATGGGGGGGCGAGGGGGACTACTGCTTGTGTGTTAGATGGTGAGGTGGGGGTCCAAAGGGATGGGTCGAATGTTCACGGTCATGGTGATGAGGATAATGACGAAGATGATGATGGTGATGCTGCTCGAGAAGATGCGGCGATGATGTTGTTGTTGAAGCAGCAGAGGAGGGCCATGATGACCATGATGATAGGTTGTGATTATGAATCGTTAGAGCAGTTCAGCAATCCATGTGCTAGCTAACGCAGAACTCTGACTTCAATCATGTCGATAGGCCCCGGAAGCCTCAGGGGCCGTTTT